GTCATCATAGATGGTATGTCAAAGAGTACCATCTTTTCGTCCATGGATCTGATGGATGGATTCTATCAGATCCTGATGCGTGAACGGGACATCCCGTTCACGGCAGTGAGTACCCCCAGCGGGATGCTGTGGGAGTGGCTAGTTATGCCACAGGGGCTGAGCAATGCCCCTGCAACATTCAACAGATGTGTAACAAATCTGTCGAGACCGGTGCGAGACTTCGCACCGAGTTACTTCGACGATGTGTTCGTCCATAGCCGGGCTATGGACGGAAAGACGGACGTTGAAGTTCACAGAACTCACATCGTCAGGTTCTTCAACTTACGCGCAAGCATAAGTTGTACGCAAACCTCAAGAAGTGTATATTCGCGGCTAGCAAAATACCACTTCTTGGGTGCATCGTGGGTAAAAACGGCGTACGTCCTGATCCCGAAAAGATCAAAGCGATCACCGACTGGCCAGTGCCAGTCGATGTCAAGGGACTAAGGAAGTTCCTTGGACTAGCGGCGTAATTGCACAAGTACTCGCGCAACTACGCCGAGATGGCCGTACATCTTTCTTGGTTACTCAAGAAAAATGTCAAATGGTCATGGAACGCTAAGTGTCAGCATTCCTTCGAACGTATCAAGCAAAGCTTGATGCAGTCGCCGATATTGTAGATCGCAGATCAGAACAGACCATTTCATGTGGTCTGTGACGCCAGCGATTTTGCAATGGGCTTTGCGTTAATGCAGTTTGATGCAGATGGCGCAGAGCGAGTCATCTGCTATCAGTCGCGTCAGCTGCAGGCAGCTGAGCGCAATCACCCAGTGCATGACAAGAAAAACCTTGCCATGAAGTACGCACTGGCTAAGTTTCGCGTCTTTCTCCTCGGAGATAGACCGTTTGTTGTCTATACGGACCATGCGTCACTACGCACTGCCGTAAAAGCCCAAACCTCTCGCAAATAATGGCGAGGTGGCTGTCTTTCTTCGCGGAGTATAACTTCTTTGTGGAGTATAAACCGGGACGACTCAATGTCGTCGCGGATGCGCTTTCGCGCCGGTCGCACAATCCAACAGTGAGGGCAAACCCACTGTTGCGACACTGAGCGCGAGTGTTCCGTCGCCAAGCTTACTTGACGACATACCAAATGCATCCGCAAAAGATAAGGATCTTCTGAGATTAATGGATCATCTGTTGAATCCATCCATTAAATCATTAAAAGATTTACCGGCTTTGTACCGATCCTCCTTGGATCGGTATAGTACACGCAACGGATTGCTGTATTATACAGCTGTTGCCGGCGACACGCCTCGTGTCGTCATCCCCGCTCATGATGGTTTGAGTTGACGCATCATGTACGAGTGTCACGATGCCCCAACAGGTGGTCATCGTGGGAGAGAAAAGACTTGCCTCACGGTAAGTCGTGACTTTTACTGGCCACGCCAGTATCAGTTTGTACGCAAGAACATACGTGCTTGCGAGGTTTGTCAACGGGTGAAGAACAGTCCTTCGTCTCGTGCACCATTGCAACCTCTGCCTGTTCCGGCAGAGTGCTGGCAGTCCGTTTCAATGCACTTCGTCTTCGGTTTTCCCGAAGACGCTCACAAGAATAATGGTATTTCTTTGTTTGTTGATTGGTTCAGCAAGATGGTCCATCTTGCTGCTGTACCCGAGTCGATCAAGGCTCGAGGTTGTGCTCGTGGCTTTCTAGACACGGTCTTTGGACTCCACGGGTTTCCCCGTGAACTCGTATCCGATCGTGACCCTCGGTTCACGGCGGCATTTTGGCAAACCGTGTTCCGTACTCTCGGAACACGATTGAAGATGTCCACTTCTGACCATCCAGAAACAGATGGTCAGACAGAACGTGCGAACCGTGTCCTCGAAGAGATCCTTCGAGGATATGTCCACTCGTTTCCGAGTTGGAGCGAATTCCTACCCATGGTGGAATTCGCCATCAATAATTCGGTGCATGCTTCCACACAGCACACACCGTTTTACGTGAATGGCCTACGCCATCCACGAGTGCCCACCCTTCTAGAGTGTGACTCTTAAAAGGGGGAGGGAATCGCTCGAGCAAAAACCGTTTTGGATCTTGCTCATCACGTGTCGACGCTAAAGTCGTCACGTACGATGCCGATGTCGATCAGGTCGACATCGATGAAGAAAATAACCTCAATAATAGCGGCAACGCTATCACTGACTCGGATGATGATGACGATGCTGGTATATTCAGCATCGCCAACGATTATGTCAGCGAGGAAGAAGACAACCTCGCTGAAGAAGAGAGCAATCTCTTAGCAGTGCGCACGAAGCGCACTGCCAGACAAAACAAAGAGTCAGCAGAGAACTTCCTGCTGACTCGAGAGACGGTAGTCCATTTCGTTCAGGACTCCATCGCAAATGCGGTGGACCGCCAGAAACGAAACGCAGACAAGAATGAAATAGAAATTGTTCTTTTATTTAAAGTTCATGACCTAGTAATACTGTCTACAATAAACTTACCTGGACATGCAGTCACTAATGTCGGCAGTAGTAAACCACTGCCGAAATACGTTGGGCCATTTCGAGTGTTGATTCGCAAGGTCAATGCATACACGATCGAATAGCCACGTAAGATGCGCAAGCATCCTACGTCTACGTGGGGCGACTCAGACCGTACTGCCAGTACGAACCTTATTCTTCCGATGAAGATATCCCCCACGCTCAAGAACCTCCATCAGGTTCTTGCGTTCGCGCTCCAGACGATCCGTCTGGTGGCGTAGATGAGAGACCTCAGAACTCAACCGAGATATCTCCCGGGGGTGTCGTCAGCTCGCCGAATAGGGAGCGGACATCCCGCTCGACCTGAAGCTGCGCTGTGGCATAATCGGCGCGGTCTCTCGCCCGATCAGCCTCGTGATCCTTGCGGTTCTTCCGCACGGTATTAGTCAAAGCGTAGCGCCGGTCGCGCTCGTGCATCAAGTCATCGCGCAATTCATCGATTGCGCGATCCATCTCGTAAGGGTCGAGATGGTGAACCGAATCATCTGGAGGAGGTATTTCCTCCTCCGCCACATCCTTTGGTGGAGGATCACGGTGATCAATGCTTTCTAGTGGAGCGTATCTTGAATCACCGTGACGATTCAGGATCAAGGACGAGCTACCTCGTCCAGTGGAGGGTCTATCCACCCTCTTGGAACAGCTGAAGGGCCCGCCCTCAGCTGTTGATGGACGTTGAATGTATCATCCGCCAGTATGACGAGACTCATCCGATTGGTCCAAAGGACCATCGGTAAACAAGCGCCCTAGGTTCTTGTAGACGGATTGCAAGTTTGCAATCGCGTCACGCATATCAGCCGAGATGTGTGCCATTCCCCAGGGCGAACTTAGGGAATACACGTCCCTATGTGCACGCTGCAAGTTGTCAGCACAACTCGTACAAGGGTCGCCCCGTGTGAGGCAAGGAATTTCTGCCTCACTCGACAATTAGTGCAACCGATACCTTGCACCGGTTCGTGTTCGCTTTCCAAACTTGAGACGTACCGCCTCAAGTTTCTTAAGCCACCCTTTTCGTCCAAAATTCTTTACGTTTTGGACGAACGCGTTCCACGCAGCCGAAAGCGAGGCCTTGTCACGCTTTCGGTTGCCGTTTACCATCGATGTCTAAGGAAGACATCGAGATAAAATTCTTATTTAGCGCGAAAGTTCTTCGCGCTGGAACTCAAGCCGTGTAGCTCAGTCGCATCGAATAAGGGTATTCGATGGTGTTGGCTTGTCTCACGAGACAAGCCATAGATGAGCCGTTCGGGCAGACGCCACGGATTTAGCTCATCACGCTTCACAGTGGTACCTCTGTCGGTACCACGGCTCCCAGAATGACGACGGCTCACGCCATCGTCATCACGCTCGTGCGAAGACGCACTAGCCGGCGGTGGTAAGGAATAATACCCCTCACCACTCTAATAACCTTCATCATCACTGCCGAACAGACTGTGACACATGTCACGAGTCCGTACGTCCGGCAGTGGCCTTTGCGAATGAGGCACTGCAGGTGAACGCGGTCCCTCCAAAGGATTTTTCGAGTCAGGCACGTCTGACCCGCCAGTATAGATGACCTCCACATTGGGGTCAACATGCGCACGCGGTGTGATACCGCGTGCACCTGCAGCACCTGTTGCTGAAGGCGGAGAACGAGCAGCAGACGACGAATCGTCTGCCGCAGAGGCTTGCACAGCACCGGGCTGTGTGGGTCTTGAGTCACCTCGCAAAGACATGTTAACTATGCGAGGTCAAGCGGAAAGAGAATGGAACGGACCCAACAAGTGCTCCCTGTCCCAATGGTGGCCAACGGGAGGCCTCCATATTTTCGATAGTCACACGGTGACTATCAGTTAAGGGGGGTGATGTAACGGGGCAGCCCGTTACATGAAATTGTTACTTTAAGGAAAGTGACAATAAAGAATATAAAGATGGATATTCTTTAAACAATATCACCAAAGTGGTGATATTGAAGGGTCGACCAAAGGGTCTGTTCATTGGTTGATATCGTGATGATATCAACCCACCAATCGCCGCAAGACGCGCGCAATGAGTGGTGACGAGACGTTCCCATACATGCAGTTATATTATTATAATTGAATTAAGTCAAACGAAGAGACAGTAGTTTAAAGACTTAATTCTATTAATATCACAGTTCTAGTTTTACCCTACCTACGCTTCCTCGCTTGCCACGTGTACGTCCGTCGGGGAACCCAAATCCCTTGCGTTAAGTTACGAAAGAGTGTGCCCCGTTACATACTGGAGTTACTGAAGACCTTGACGACCACAAAGATGATGATTTTGACGACAACAACGATGACTTTGATATAATTACTGATGGCAACGATGAAAACGATGGCAACGATGAAAACGATGGCAACGATGATGAACACGTAGACAATGGAAACGATGATGATTATGATGGCGCCACCGATACTGCTGATGATGATGTTACTCCGAGTGAGTTTACTCTACCACAAGACCCTGATGTCGCGATGCCAGATCCAGACCCTGAGTTCGCTGCATGGACGCTGTTTTTCGATGAAGCTTTTCGCCGCCGTTCGAGACAACACGGTGCAGGTGCAGGAGCTGGTGCCACACTATTTCAAGGCACAGTGAACAAGTGGAATGTTGCTTGTTTCCTGCCCAGTTCAACGCACACCAATAATACTGCTGAGTATATGGCTCTTATTGAAGGTCTCAGTGGGGCTCTACATCATGGTGTGATTAGTCTCACGGTCAAGGGTGACAGTGCATTGATTCTGGAGCATGTGCGTGGACGGTACTCCTGCAACAACGATCGACTACGGCGTTTGCGCAACAAGGCTCGTCGACTTCTCCACCGCTTTGACCACTACGAGTTGATTCACGTTGACAGGATGGAGAACCAGGCTGCAGACATATTGGCGAACCGGGCTCTGGACAGTCAACGGACCAAGACGGAATGCTTTGCCCATGGCATCGATGGCGTCGGTTGCAGCACCCATGCTATCGCCACTGGGCCCGCGATTGCAGCTGGTACCTCCAGAAGACCTACTGTTTCGGCTACTGGACCAGTGGATATGGACATTTTGAGTGGAGATGAAGCTGGTGAAGACAATCTGGAAGATGACGATGCTGCTGCTGATGTCATCCGCCGAGACAGAGGCCGGACGTTTCCAGTTCTTCCAGTTACTGCTGATAGCGTTCCATCCCGCCATTCCAGATTGAAGTTGCGATCCAAGTTGAGTGAAGATGAGCTTGAAGCAGCTCGACTGGAGGTGAAGCAGGTTGCTGATGAATTTGCGGACAAGCTCACAGATGCCGACGATTGGGAAACAGCGGAAGTGTACCTCGCAGCGCTGACTCCGTCATTATACGCTGCTCTTTTGCCATTTTCGCAGCGACCACGACCTCCAGGTCATCCACGGCGGCAAGAGTTGAGTTCAGGTCGCCAGCGAGGACGTCAAAGACCACCTCCAACACCTGGCAACCAGCAACTGAACGAAGCTCTGGACCATTTGGACAACATTCAGCATGGATCTCAGCCATCCCAGCCTGCTATTCGGAAGGCGCGACGACGTGCGGGACGAATTCGGTCAGCCATGAAGCGCACTCTGTTGCGGAAGAAGTTTCGGGTTCATGAGAAGGCGTGCATGCAGCAAGTTCTGTCGGAAGCGTCACCGGATCCCGAATTCACTGGTGGAGAAGCTGCTCCCACGCGCTGTCCGATTGCAAGAGCAGCTGTTCATGACTACTTCCAGGGTGTTAACACTCCTCAGCGTGATTTTAATTTCGATGACAGGGCTGGTGCTACATTTCGAAATCTTCTGTCTGCTCTTCCGCCAGCCTCTGCAGCTATGGATGCTCTTACGATGGACATCACGCCAGATGATGTGGAGGTTGCTGTTCACAAATCCCATGCACACTCCAGCCCGGGTATGGATGGTGTCGGTCATGACATCTTCAAGAACTATTTACCCGAGTTGTTATCGACACTGCATGCTGCTTATGGTGTATGCTGGAAGCATGGAAAGGTACCTGCTGTCTGGAAAGTAGGATCGGTGCAGCTGATTTACAAGAAAGGTGACCCCAGTGAACCAAGTAACTGGAGACCGATCTGCTTTCAAGCGTGCATCTACAAGCTCTACTCGGACATGTTGGCGAGGCGACTAAAGCGCTGGTTGGAAGCAAATGGCCGCTTGAATGACTCGCAGAATGGGTTTCGAAGTGTCAACGGTACCGCGGAGCACAATTTCGTGAGCATGGCTGTGATCGACCAGACCAAGAGACGCCCTCGTCATCTCCACATGGTCTGGTATGACATCAAGAACGCATTTGGGTCGGTGCCACCGGAGCTGATTTGGCGTGTGTTGCTGAATACCAGTGCCAGCGTCTCGTTTGTGGATCGTCTCAAGAATATCTACGATGGTGCGTCGTTTACGGTGGCCAACACGGCAGATGGTGCGACGGACCCGATCCAGCTTCGGATGGGTGTTTTTCAAGGTTGTCCCCTGTCGCCCTACTTGTTCTTGGTTGGCATCATGCCCCTCGTCCGTGCGTTGCAAGAGCTTGCTCCGGAGATTGGAGTGCCCGTGACGGCTGACCGTAAGGTTTCGGTGACAGCATATGCAGATGACTTGAAGACATTCAGCTCATCCACCGTCGGTATCAAGAAGGCACACTCGGTCGTTGTCCAGTTTCTTCGGTGGTCTACCATGCAATCCAATGCTTCCAAGTGTGCCTCGCTCTCGGTCAAGACCGACACACATGGACATTTACGTGACGATCAAGTGGAGCTTACACTAGATGGTGGCATCATTCCGTCGCTCAAGATTTCGGAAGGGTACACATACCTGGGTATCGGTGATGGCTTCAACCACGCCAAACACCGTGACTCGACGGGACCTGTTTTGCAAGACATGAAGCGCATGATGGCACCGATTTTTCGTTCATCACTGGATCCGTGGCAAAAGATGAAGGCGATCAAGACGTATGTTTTCCCGAAAGCAGATTATCTGCTGCAACACGTACGAGCCTACAAGACCCAGCTGGACAGTGTGGAATCAGCCTTAGCACGTGGTTTACGCCATCTTCTGAAGCTCAACCAGTCCAGTACGACTGCAATGTTTCACGCTCCGGTTGCCGCCGGTGGTTTGGGTTTCATCCCACTCGTCGAACTTCGGGATGTGCTCCAGATAAGCCATGTCTGGCAGATGCTGCACTCCTCCGATGTGCTTATTCGTGAGATTGCTCAAGAGCAAGTGTGGCGGGCAATCCAGAAGCGATTCACCATGGACCCGGACCATTGGCGTGGACGTATACCTACTGCCATCCAGCTCTTTTTGAATGGTGATCTCGATTCTTCTCCATTTGCCCGTCAGAAGCGCAAGTCGGGGGATATTGGTTCGTTATGGGTGGATGTCAAGAATCATCTTGCGACCCGTGGATTGAAGTTGACGACGGAAACAGTGCTCACGGAAGCTGGAACTGAGGTGGAAATGATGTTGCAGCTCAAGTTACCACATCGATCGCAACCACTACAGCACAGCGACATCACCAGGCAGCTTCGCCATCATTTCAAACTGACGGAGCTTGAGCGGTGGAAAGGATTGAGTACCCAGAGTTCCGTTGTGCGAGCTATTGGTGGAGTTGGAAGCTGTTTTCTTTCTCGTGGTGGTGGAATGAGCGACGCAGAATTTCGTTTTGCTTTGCAGGCTCGGGTTGATTTGGTACCCACTCGATCGGTTCTTCGACGTTGGAATGAGCTTGGGGGTGCAACCTGTCGCCACCCCAGATGCCATCACGATGAAACGCTCCCACATGTTCTTCAGCACTGCCCAGGCAATTCTCGGGCCATTGATGGTCGTCACGACCGTGTTCTTGGGATAATCAAGAAAGCGGTGGAGCCCATTGTTTCCAAGTCCTCCAGTCGTCTGACGGCTTGCTTTGACACATACGTGGAGGGTCTACCGGGTCGTCAACTGCGTCCAGATATCCATATTTTTGATGCGGCTTCGAGGACCGCCTACATTTGTGATCTCGCTATTGCGTTTGAAGCTCAGAAGACGGACGACCCTGCTACAGGCAACATGCGCGTTCGTAACGCCGAGAAGTTGGTCAAGTACCAGCGTGCAAAGGAGTTTCTGGAGACGATGGGATGGCGCGTTCAAGTTTCAGCTTTGGTGTACGGATCGTTGGGATCAGTGTTGCCCTCCAACTACAAGGTGTCGACGGAGCAGCTACGTCTGACCAAGAGGCATGCCAATCAACTCAATCGTCGGATTTCGGTGGCACGTGTTCAGGAAAGCTACAAGATATGGAGGTTCCATTCGGGAAAGTTGAATTCAGGAGATACGTCAAGAAACTCGAGGCCAACTGTGGCTCCCACTGCTACATCACCCTCGCCGAGCACCAGAACCAATGACCCATGTGCGCGACCTGTGTAGACACCTACTTCTGTGCCATCTACATCGAGGACTTCTACTTCAACCAGCCAACCACGTCGGGCATCTACGCGGTGGGGTCCGCTACGTTCTCAGCCGCTCACGACTCCTGTCCCTCCACGTCGGACCATCACACGATGAGGACCTCGTCGAGGTCACGTGACTTCATCTGCTGCTCCGGACACCCAGTCAAGGTCAAGACAGCACCCACTATATCAACACTTGACTCGGACCTCGCATTCTTCCGGACAGCCACGCTCAAGGTCGACTCACCAGCCTAGGCGACCCTCGCGCCCACAGCACTAAGGTCATCCTCAGTTACGTCGTGCCGTCGCCACTGCCACCAGGAACTAGTGGTTCATGGACCTGTTTCGGTCCCATCGGCACTCTCCAGCAAGGATACCGCCGTTCCAAGCCCAATGTAGCCATATAGTCTATAGTTGTAGCACTACATTCGGACGTTTTCCGTCCTGTCTACCCCCACTTGCAGCTTTTGCTTCCCACGGGTGACTACTAATTGGCACATAATACACGTATTAAAATGAGGGCGTTGACATGAGCCGGAGCAGGCCCCTTGCACTCCGGTGCTGTAAGGGTTCAGGAATGCTCTTTTGAGTAATTCCACAGTAGAATTTTTGTCAGCGGGGGTGAGCGCGTGCGCCGCCCTCACCTCAACATCAAACAATACACACGTCTGGTTTGCACCTTTCTTCGTGTTCTTTTATTCTACTCAACTGTGTCTGCTGCGTGTCCTCTGCTGCGCCATGGCCATCTTCTCGCTCTGCGCGCGCGACCGCGCCATGTCCAGCGGTTCGCTGCCGCCAGCATCGCCGGTGAGCAGCACGGCCTCGAGCGCGGTGTCGGCGCGAGACGACGACGCCCTGAGCGTTGCGAGCGAATTCTTCAGTGACGTCGATGACGACGACAACGACGACTGCGCCTCGGACGACGCTGTTGCTGGTGCTGCTGACGACGACGACAACTCCGCTACTGACACCGCCACCGCTTCCGACGAGGGCGCTGCACGTGTCGAGACCACCGGGTCAGCAAATCCAACAGCTGGTGCCGACTTGCACCGGCTGTGCACGATGGGCAGCACCAATCTTCCCGCTGGCGCCGGTCTGACTGACCCCATGCACACCGATGGGATCGGCAACGACGTTGCCCAAGGTGTTACCGGCGTCGACGATAATGTTCACGCCGTTCACGACGACACCTTTCAAGACGATCAAGATATAATGTTTCAAGATGGCACTCTCCAATCTGCGCTGCAGAAGGCATTCGCCTGCGGTGAGTATAAACGAGACATTAAGTTAAACCAGGCTTTCTTCGGCAACTGCCCGTACGTATCTTCACATGACCGACCCTCCTCCTGACAAAGGAAGGGAAGAGTCTGGCGACGATCCAGGACGACCTGCGCTCCCACTAGCGTCACTGACAGCTCGGGTACCTCCTGGGTCTCCGCAGCCGGACAGGGAGCGTACGGTGGCTGCGCCGGACACGCACCACGATGGTGCGACATTGGACATAGACGAGGATCGGACTCTTCCCAGCCACCCATCTGATGTTTTGTCGGCCGGACCTGGCTTGACGCCCTGCGTATCCCGGAAGGGTGCCACCGCGGTTACCCCATCGGGCGCGGAAGGTGCCTCACGAGATGATCGATTGGATCCGGGGAAGCACTCTTCCTCGGAGAACGTCGGGGTCACTTCGGACCGGTCCGGGGCCCCTCTTGTGGATGATGAAAGCGATCTTCATGCCGCATTAGTGGATGAGATGAAGGCACACCCCGGCGAGAGTCCGCTCGATTCATGGCTTCACTCTATTCAAGTGATGTACACGACGGCATCGGAGCAAATTGCGGTCAATAAGGCCAAGTTACCCATCGAGCGGCAACGTTACCCCCGCTTGACCAGGGCAGAGCGCGTGGGATTACTTACTCTATTTGAACTAGCCTGTATCCTTGGAAACCAAGGTGGGGGAGGCGTGGAATCGAACGCTCCAACCTGTGATCAAGGATCTGTATCCAACGAAATGGGCGTTTCTCGAGATCGTTCGCAAGCAAGTTAGCCGGCTTAAATGGAAGCAAGCTCCTGTTTTGGATCAGTGGTCGACTAAGGTGAAACAGGGCACTCCGGCAGCTCCCGAAAGCTCTCCTGCTCCTTCGCGAGACCCGTACACGCGATTTATGTTTAATCCGGCTAAGTACCAGCCGGCAGAGGTCGCGAAGCTGACGCAAGTGTGCGAAGCTTCTTACGAAGGGGCGTATGGCCTTGAGATCGGGATGCAACCGCAGAGGAATGGAAAATTATTGAGGGCCTGGCGGAAGGGTCTATAGCGTGTCGCAAACTTCCGTCGTTGTGCAGAGTATCATGGACAGTTCCAAACGCATTCGGCTGTTCAATACGATCCAAGCACAGGTGGAGGGAGAGCTGGTGATGACGTTACAACGTCATCATTATATCCGGGTATGTCAGCATAGCACTAACGGCATCATCGCGGCGATACTCGAATCGGCGGAATTAGTTCGGGTCAACTTGCCAGCGCTTCATGAGCTGATAAGCCAGACTAATCAGATTGTTTACGACAGGGTGACAAATTCCATCCATTTCTTTTTCTTCACTAGAGAAACGGCGTTTAAACATCAACGTGTGGCTATCCCGTTTCGGGGCAGAAGCTATTCGCTAACCAATCCGCATCGGCCACACCAAGGAATTGTTTGGGATCGACAGCGCAGTTCGGATAGGCATCAAATACGGCGGCAGGCGGAGTATACGGTATACATCCGAAATTTGACTCGGTTTCACGACATTGGTAAGCTTATGGCGTTTCCTCGCACTAACATCCAAACTCCATTTGAAGTGGAAGATATGGATACGTGCACGCCGACGTCAAAAACGTCGACGGTGTGGAAACTTACTTTCCAGTTGGCGGGTTGCCCGACATTTCTACAGGGAGTGGTCAGAATCATGTGATTCGGCGCCATTTTAATCGTATCTCACCCCAACGTCAAGCTCCAATTTCAATGTCTACAGTGCGGTAACATTGGGCACCCAATTGCGCGGTGCAGTTTCTCTGACGCACAACTTCGGGGGCCAGGAGCCATCGTCGTTGCGGAACAGGACATAGCCGGTCTGAGCGATACCGCACGTCCTTTCGCGAGTCTTAAAGAACTTCGAGACACGGTGCGCGCCCGTATTGCCGGCCACCGCCTGGCCCAGGCGTCTCTAAGCACACCAGATAATATGGCGCCTGTTCCTCCTACATCTTCCAGGCTACAGGACTCCGATAGAGAGTCGCAGCGACTACCAAAACCGGTGGATCGGGAGGAAGGCATCTTACCTCCCGGAGTCGAGCTTCAACCGGAACCCAGGGAACCACAGCCGTGGATTACCCACAGAGCTCAGAAGGGAAGGTCTCTCCAGCGACGCGCCAACAAAACCTTGACCAGCATTGGAAAAGTCACTCCTCGAGCGCTCGTCAGCGAGGCATCCTGCAAGCACCATCAACCGACACCCCGAACGGCCCCATTACCCGCCGAGTTATGCAGTGAAGGCGTCCCTAGCGTCGTAACCGGGGACACGGTCTCTTCGGCGCAGCCGCTTCTCTTACCAGCTGAGGAACAAATTCGTGTGGCAGGTCTGGCGCGGGGTCAGCCTCCACAAGTCCAAGGGCATCTCCTGCTTAGTCGTCAGACGAAATTTAGGGCTACGCTTTCGAAATTGATGCAGGCCAGCTACGCCGGTCCCTCGGAGGTGGCTCCCCTTGGTCCAATGCTAAAGCAAGTGCCGCAGACTTTCGCAGAGGCGTTAAACAGCTTAGTGATGCGGGAGGTAGTAACGCCGGTTTCCGGCAATTTCCTTGCCATGGCAATCGTGCAAGGAGCAACTGGGCAAGATCTCGCAGAGCAGACGTCGAAGCTTGGACAGCTAACGGCAACCCTCAAAACCGGTATCAAGGAGGTTGGACTTTTAAACATAGAGGACCGCATACCGCATGATATCCGGGTGACGATAATTCAAAATGTTAGCCGTGCTTGTACAAGCATGACGCGGCGGGAATCTCTTAACCAACTCAAATGATTTTTTGAGTACTACGCATCCAGTCCTTCCGACCGAGAAGAGGTCGTCGCGGACAATACATGGGGAGGTAATGACATCATCGGACTAGCGGCAATGCTCCTCCGTCGGAACATTAACGTGCTTGAATTAGACGATACGCGCACCAACCCCTGGAGCTGCCGGCAGTTTAAGCCAGAAGTGTTATCCATTAAAGCGAAAAGTATCGCTTCGTTTACGGAGAGGCCCATGGACATTTTACAGTGCCTTGATGCCATCAGGGCGGACATCATTGACTCAGCAGCTACTCCTATTGTCCTCCGCTTTTGGGGTCGGCATTACTCGGCAGCCGTTCCTAGCCCGGCAACGAGGGAAGAGTTCGAAACCCATCACGATGCCCTCATGGTGGCCCAACCGTCTCGGCATGATGCAGATGAACCAATGTCTTCCACTTCTCAGACTGAGGACCTCGCCCCTGTATGTGGTGGACCACAACAGCTAGCGATGGTAGAGTCTTATGCGTCCAACGCATTGGTTACCACTGATAGGAACTATGTCGACACCGCTCTCGCGCCGACTGAAATCGTGACGCAGCCTCTCAGAATTTGCGACCAGGAGAGGCACTTGCGTAAGCGTACACATGTACCCGGTTCGGACGACCGCATTCAGGACGGTGTGGCCTTGAAATACATCCATACCGGGGTTCTGCAGAAGAAAGGAAAACCGGAGGAGTACGCTCTGGTTCAATATCTGGCAGTGCCGAACGACCCTATGGGCGGCCCCAATCAGCATTGGCACGTTGAATGGATCCGTGGAAGCGTCCGCTGACTGACGACGGCTAGCGTCCAGTGTCCATTGGTAGAGAGCGGAACTGCTATATGGGCAGCGGTGGCCGCGGCGGAACCGCTTGTTTTACTTAATTACGTCCAATCATTTAGGTTCCCCGGTGAGCTTATCGACTTCTCGCAGATTCAGTCATCGCTCAGTGGACAGAGGAATGGCGGAGGGACTGTTTGCAGGACTGCCTAGCCCGTTACCGGACAAATTGTACGGTAAAAGCGACGCGGGCTTGGCTAGATCAGTGGAAGCAACAGATCATATTTCCGAAAGGGCGGAAGGTCTCCGGAAATCTCGGAGATAACCCCGACTATTGGAAACGCATCCGGGTCGAGAAATATGGGAATGACGATCTTTTTCGGCTTTGCGATCCAATTCGGCGGGTCATTTTCAGTCATCACATTTTGTGCGCTCATCTGTATCATGTCGAAATTGGAGAGCTTTTATCGATGGTGGATACGGGGGCTGGGTCCCGATCAGTCATGGAGGCCCATGTCCAGCTCCTGAAACGGGATGCGCAATATAAATCGTGTTACAAGGGGGGCGGGACAAAGGCTGATTGGGCCAGTATTGCGCGCTTTTTTGAGTCCGCCTTCGAGAAGCCAACGTAATCGAAGGCATTGACTACTAAGGGCAGCCCACAGATCACGGCTCAGTCACCGCTTTCAACTTTGGGCGGGGACAGAGCTAATGCGTATGGTCTCTACATGCACGATAGATTGAAGTATCACCGACCTCTGTCGCTTTCTCGGCCGGAATTCTCAGCAGCTACGACTCAAAGGATACTAACGCAGAATGTCCGCGCCTTTTCTGGTCAATCTCGTTCTATATGGATGGCAGCATGGAGGAATGCGCCACGGAAAACACGACCACATATTTGGTGTCTTCAAGAAACCCACGTCGCTTCTCAGGATGAAGCGGATGCATTGGATCGGTAATGGAGACGGCTTTGGGGCCTATTCGCAGTTGATCCAGCATTTCCTCTTTCTTACTGGAGTCTGGGGACGCGCCAAGCCGACGGGGTGGCTTTTCTACTGAAACCGGACATGGCCCAGTCGGCACAACCATAGCCTGGCCTCCTGACCACGCCGAGACAAATTGCGTTATCTGTCCAGGACGACTTCGTGCTCGTTAACGTTTATGCACCAAACGAACGGTCGGCAAGGGAATTGTTATTCAAGGGTCTGAAAGCGGTGCAGCGGTCCGTCGCCCCAGTCATTCTAACCGGGGATTTTAACTGCGTCCAACATCCCTCGCTCGACCGGCTGGGGTTACGTTCGGCTAGTCGCACTGAAAGCCCAGCTTTGGATTCGCTCGCTGACATGTGTCAGCTAGTTGATGCGCTGGATTTGGTTCCTCACCCGGACGAGGACCTGGAGTGGGAGCCATCTACCCACTTCACGTATTGGGCGGGGTCAGCAGCCAGCAGACTTGATCGTTTTTACGTACCCCACACATGGGGGCACCGAGTGCAATGGTTAGAAACAATTCTTCCACCATCGGCTTCTGGTCACCAGCAAGTCACCTTGCATATCTCTGCTGGGCGCGGGAAAGGCATCGCCATCCCGGTAAAGTTGCGTACCCCATACGTTGTGCAAACCCGGCCGGCGCCGTCGCTGAACTCATCGATTGCCTCACAAACGTCGGCATTACTGAGTTATCCACGGTCTTGACCTAGGATCACGGCGTTCGCCGCGTACGACGGGGGATCACAACCACCGCCCGCAGGCTAAGGCAACGGCGGACACGGTACATCGACAGGCTGCGACGGCGATCACGACGGCCACTGCTTACCCGACAGGCTTGGCACCACGCCCAAACCGAGGATCAACAGGAGGCTCACATCTGTCGGGTTGGCTTGGTTCTCCAACGTACAACGGAGAAACTTCGCGCGAAGTTTAAACGGGTGTCGGACTGGGAGCGTGACCAACGTGTTTCAGCCATCAGGAGACTCCACGGTGATCCGTTCCTAGTCGGTTGTAGCGTCGCCGACAAGTTTGGTTCTGAATGGGATCATGTGATGGGGCAGAGCCACCGTATAGTCCCAGTCGCAGAACTGCGTACGGCTCTGCGGCATTTTTTTCGCTCCCCCTATAATCGCATAGTTACCACCGCCGAAAACCGTGCCCTGACGGCAGATTTAACGGAGGCAGAGGTGGTATTCGCAATCCGAGCTCTCAGTAGGCATAAAGCCCCCGGCACCGACGGCTTAGGGAACGATTTTTACAAGGATCTTCAGTCGCTGTTGGTACCGCCGTTAGTGGAGATAGCTAACGAGATCATCCAAGGTGCGCAACCACCCAAGTCGTTTATGGAGGCGCTCATCATCCCGCTACGTAAGAAAGGAGATTCCTACGACGCCATGGACTATCAACCGATCTCTCTGTTGCAAACGGGGTACAAGGTAATTGCAAAGGTCTTGGCGACGCGTACGCAGCAGTGTCTGCCTCACGTCATCGATTCTTCTCAACAAGGGTTTGTTCACGGACGACAAATGCAAAAGACGATCCCAATGATGCTTGCTCACCTCCAAAGTTCACGTGAGGAGTGTACTTTGGACGCCGACGCCAGTCGCGCCGTTGTCTTACTGGATTTTCGGAAGGCCTATGATACGGTCGACCGCGACTTCACGGTAGAGGCGCTCCGACTATTCGGGTTTGACGAGAACTTTCTAGCGCTCATTCAGAGGCTTCATACCAACACGACGGCACGTTATTCGGTCAACGGTGAGCTTTCATCAATTCGGCCGGTTCGGTCTGACATTCGGCAGGGCTGTCCCCTCGCTCCTCTTCTTTTCCTGGTGGTAGTCGAGGTGCTGGCCGTTTCAATACAAACGTCGCCCCAACTTCACGGGCTCACACTTCCAGGAGTACACACAGCCCTATATAGTTTCGGGGTTTGTCGACAACTCAACCCTGTTTCTACAAGAAGCCAGTCTACTACGACCGGATATGGACATCATTATGGAGTGTGGGCGGCTTTCGGGGTTGCAGGTGCAGCCGACAAAAAGCCAACTCATATTTTTAAACACGGCTATCCGTCCCCCTACGTATCAGGGAATCGCAGTGGTGGATCCGTCAACAACAACGAGGTATCTCGGCTATCAAGTGGGTACAGGAAAGTTACGCAACATTAACTGGGCTCTCCGCATCAAAAATGCACAGCGTCGCCTCCTCACTGCAACGCGAGTTTCGACGACCCTCGAGCACCGAGTTCTTATACTCAATGCGATAGTTCTACCCGAGATTTTGTTCACGGCAGCGGTCTTCGAGCCCCCCGGTTGGGCGCTCAAACAGCTGGATCATCTCTACAAACATTTCCTCTGGAAGACGTCCAACAGGATTGAACCCGGGATACACAAAGTCGCTCCAGGCCCCTATTACGCTTCCCGTAAGGCAGGCGGAATCGGCCTCGTTTCGGTCCCCGTCGCCATCAAAATCCAGCGGGTAAAATACGCGCTACTGGCACTTACTCGGCCAGAGGATGGTTATCACGCAGCGTGGGTGTCCTGGGTTACGCATGGTGCACACATTCAGGCCATCAGTCCGCATCGACCGAGCGTGCGACACATTTTATCGCCGTCTTCCGAGCGGTATCTGGATGTACTTTATGAGCTCGGATGCACATTGACGCCGACACCCGCGCAAACGGATGATATTCTCGCACGGGTACAGGACCATCTACCGACCCTTCGATCATCATCGACGAGCTAATGGGAAGAAAACGACTGGGTGCAACATCTCTCTGAACCCCTTTTTCAGTAGGCCTCAGTCAGTAGAATTTTGGCCCCAGGCGATCGAAGACTTCTGGCTGACTTTCCGGTGGAGTGGACACCCTTGGGTTTTCACCCCACAGGCGTCGGCGTTGTCCAGGTCCAAGTATGACAGGATCGGCGATATCTCCTTTGAACAACTCCATATCCAGCGGAAAGGACCCCAGGAATATGTCTTCGGCGGCATTTGCCCGGACCTCCTCGCCCCCGCCATTCCCATTCCAAACATCGAGAATGGGAGATCATCGTCTTACTCTCGTCGCCGTCACTTAATGTTGGAAATCCGGTGGGGGGCCCGGCCTCAATCCGGCTGAGGCATCAGCCCCCTTTCACACAAGCCATCACATGGGTGCCGGTCGGGCCGGGTAGGGTTCGGAGCACTTCTGACTCGGACGATTCTATTTACCCTCAGCGTTGGGAGCTCATTCAATGCCATAATGGCATTTCTTGGGTTTTCGACGGGGAACCGCCGCGGGTCCAAGGGGAAACGCAGGAAATCACCCAACTCGCGGAGTGCAGGCTCATCCGAAATGGGGTCGTCTTTTTTTAACCCACAGGTCCACCGCTTTCCATGGTCCGCTCCGCTAACGGTTCCCAATCACCGCGTCTTCTCGTTCCTGAAACGGCAAGCTTTCAAGTCGGCTAAGCGGTGTCTTGCGACACCGCTGAAGCAGGTCATTGATAGACTGGGCACCAAGAGCCAGCATAACCGTTGGCAACGCGCAGCTCTCGATTTCTCGCCGGCTCATCTATGGGGTCACGGACACGCGGTGACGGAATATCAGCTATGGACACGGTACCGCCACGCTACCGGTCAGCTAAACTTTTGGTATCAGGACCGGCCTCCGGACGGGTCTTGCACGTATCGAGAATGTGTCGGACAGAAGGAGACCCAGGAGCATCTCTTTTGGGAATGTCCCCGTGCACAGGCAATCTGGGCACGGCTCATCAGTCATTAAAAGAGCACACCTCATAAACCTAACCATCTACTGGATTGGATCGAGCACTGCGCAAACCGTAGAGTACCACGCATTTCGCCGCAGGTCACGGCAATGCTGTTAGTCAGATACCCAGACGACATCGATCAATTCGCCACGGCCTGGAGGACGATCTGGGAGGTCGCAGGGACCGTCATCAACACAATGCTCTGGCAACACCGCGTGGACAGAGTTTTTCACAATGCGAAAATCCCGATACAAGCCAGTGAAGCCATGATTTGGGGGAAAATTCAGCTTCAATTGCGGGCGCTCATAAAACGTCTCCATTGCAGGGCTGACGCGGCCGTGAGTGGCGCCCAACTTTCTGCATGTTACGACATATTTATATCAGAACCGAGAGGGCAGCCCGGCTTTCATAGCCAGTCTGCCAGCCGTAGGCAATGCCTGGACCCTCCAGCGTTGCTAGTGTGGTTAATAACCTACCAGAGATCTTGCACTAACCGGTAAATAGACAATCTGTTCTCTCTACTGTTTCAAGATGGTATTCACGACGATGGTATCGATACCTGTCCCGATTTCGACGACTCGATTTTCGACCCGACGCTTCTCGTCCCGGCCACCGACGACTGTCCCGTTTTTGACACTGCCGTCTGCGCGACTGACCTTCACGTCCCAGATGCGTTGCCAGGACATGTCCAAGTTACCAGCAACAACGACCAAGCTTCTCATGCTCAAGATGCCGCTAACAGCTCCGTTCAAAACCAAGTTTCTGCCGCTCGCGTTGCTACAAGCACCCGTCTCGCGCTTGTGCCCGATTCGACGAGCGAGCCTCCCGGCTCACGTCAACCGGTTGACACTACCGTCGCCGCCACGTCTCTCGCCACGGACGTTCCCGCCGCCCCGTCACTGGCAACGTTATCAGTGTTCGCCCACAATGCGGCGGTGTTCAGGTGCATTGCTTGCAACTTTGCAGCACCGCAGCTCGCCGAGCTACGTGCTCACCGGCACCGGCAGCACCGCGGGACCGTCTTCACGGATGTTTTCCACAGTGGATGCACCTGTGCCATGTCGTTTGCCCAACGGGCTGCGGCTACTCGGCACAGCCTCCACTGTGGGACAGCCCAGACTGTACGTTGTGACGCAACTTCAACGCCGCAACTGCAGCAGCAACAACACACAGCAGACACACCGGCGGCTGGAGGAGGGCCCACGGTGACACGCCGTAATCCTCCTCCAGCCTTAGCCACTCTACCCACTAGTTCCTCTCGGCCGTGGCTGGCCGCTCGCTCTCGTCTTCGTGTCTCTTTGCTCCGGACAGACACTCAAGACTCCAGTGGGACTTCAACGCAGCATGTGACAGTGCTTACAGGATGCAAGCGTCGCCGTCTAAACCCTTCGCTCGTACCGGATCAAGACCAAGATGTCGACATGGACCACCTCGGTGCTGCGCCAGTTGATGATTTTCTCCGCCGTATGATGGCATACGCTCCTGACACTACTTCAGCTTCGCCGAAGCATACACACTTTCAGCAACCGTTGATTGTACCTTCCTCGGCGGTTCCTGTGATCTGCACACTTCCAAGACATGATGAAGAAAATCAAGATGTTGCTACTGGAGTTACTGAAGACCTTGACGACCACAAAGATGATGATTTTGACGACAACAACGATGACTTTGATATAATTACTGATGACAACGATGAAAACGATGGCAACGATGATGAACACGTAGACAATGGAAACGATGATGATGATGATGGCGCCACCGATACTGCTGCTGATGATGATGTTACTCCGAGTGAGTTTACTCTACCACAAGACCCCGATGTCGCGATGCCAGATCCAGACCCTGAGTCCGCTGCATGGACGCTGTTTTTCGATGGAGCTTTTCGCCGCCGTTCGAGACAACACGGTGCAGGTGCAGGAGCTGGTGCCACACTATTTCAAGGCACAGTGAACAAGTGGAATGTTGCTTGCTTCCTGCCCAGTTCAACGCACACCAACAATACTGCTGAGTATATTGCTCTTATTGAAGGTCTCAGTGGGGCTCTACATCATGGTGTGAGCAGTCTCACGGTCAAGGGTGACAGTGCATTGATTCTGGAGCAAGTGCGTGGACGATACTCCTGCAACAACGATCGACTACGGCGTTTGCGCAACAAGGCTCGTCGACTTCTCCACCGCTTCGACCACTACGAGTTGATTCACGTTGACAGGATGGAGAACCAGGCTGCAGACAGATTGGCGAACCGGGCTCTGGACAGTCAACGGACCAAGACGGAATGCTCTGCCCATGGCATCGATGGCGTCGGTTACAGCACCCATGCTATCGCCACTGGACCCGCGATTGCAGCTGGGACCTCCAGACGACCTACTGTTTCGGCTACTGGACCAGTGGATATGGACATTTTGAGTGGAGATGAAGCTGGTGAAGACAATCTGGAAGATGACGATGCTGCTGCTGATGTCATCCGCCGGGACAGAGGCCGGACGTTTCCAGTTCTTCCAGTTACTGCTGATAGCGTTCCAGTCCCGCCAGTCCAGATTGAAGTTGCGATCCAAGTTGAGTGAAGATGAGCTTGAAGCAGCTCGACTGGCGGTGAAGCAGGTTGCTGATGACTTTGCGGACAAGCTCACGGATGTCGACGATTGGGAAACAGCGGAAGGGTACCTCGCAGCGCTGACTCCGTCATTATACGCTGCTCTTTTGCCATTTTCGCAGCGACCACGACCTCCAGGTCATCCACGGCGGCAAGAGTTGAGTTCAGGTCGCCAGCGAGGACGTCAAAGACCACCTCCAACACCTGGCAACCAGCAACTGAACGAAGCTCTGGACCATTTGGACAACATTCAGCATGGATCTCAGCCATCCCAGCCTGCTATTCGGAAGGCGCGACGACGTGCGGGACGAATTCGGTCAGCCATGAAGCGCACTCTGTTGCGGAAGAAGTTTCGGGTTCATGAGAAGGCGTGCATGCAGCAAGTTCTGTCGGAAGCGTCACCGGATCCCGAATTCACTGGTGGAGAAGCTGCTCCCACGCGCTGTCCGATTGCAAGAGCAGCTGTTCATGACTACTTCCAGGGTGTTAACACTCCTCAGCGTGATTTTAATTTCGATGACAGGGCTGGTGCTACATTTCGAAAGCTTCTGTCTGCTCTTCCGCCAGCCTCTGCAGCTATGGATGCTCTTACGATGGACATCACGCCAGATGATGTGGAGGTTGCTGTTCACAAATCCCATGCACACTCCAGCCCGGGTATGGATGGTGTCGGTCATGACATCTTCAAGAACTATTTACCCGAGTTGTTATCGACACTGCATGCTGCTTATGGTGTATGCTGGAAGCATGGAAAGGTACCTGCTGTCTGGAAAGTAGGATCGGTGCAGCTGATTTACAAGAAAGGTGACCCCAGTGAACCAAGTAACTGGAGACCGATCTGCTTTCAAGCGTGCATCTACAAGCTCTACTCGGACATGTTGGCGAGGCGACTAAAGCGCTGGCTGGAAGCAAATGGCCGTTTGACTGACTCGCAGAATGGGTTTCGAAGTGTCAACGGTACCGCCGAGCACAATTTCGTGAGCATGGCTGTGATCGACCAGACCAAGAGACGCCCTCGTCCTCTCCACATGGTCTGGTATGACATCAAGAACGCATTTGGGTCGGTGCCACCGGAGCTGATTTGGCGTGTGTTGCTGACTACCAGTGCCAGCGTCTCGTTTGTGGATCGTCTCAAGAATATCTACGATGGTGCGTCGTTTACGGTGGCCAACACGGCAGATGGTGCGACGGACCCGATCCAGCTTCGGATGGGTGTTTTTCAAGGTTGTCCCCTGTCGCCCTACTTGTTCTTGGTTGGCATCATGCCCCTCGTCCGTGCGTTGCAAGAGCTTGCTCCGGAGATTGGAGTGCCCGTGACGGCTGACCGTAAGGTTTCGGTGACAGCATATGCAGATGACTTGAAGACATTCAGCTCATCCACCGTCGGTATCAAGAAGGCACACTCGGTCGTTGTCCAGTTTCTTCGGTGGTCTACCATGCAATCCAATGCTTCCAAGTGTGCCTCGCTCTCGGTCAAGACCGACACACATGGACATTTACGTGACGATCAAGTGGAGCTTACACTAGACGGTGGCATCATTCCGTCGCTCAAGATTTCGGAAGGGTACACGTACCTGGGTATCGGTGATGGCTTCAACCACGCCAAACACCGTGACTCGATGGGACCTGTTTTGCAAGACATGAAGCGCATGATGGCACCGATTTTTCGTTCATCACTGGATCCGTGGCAAAAGATGAAGGCGATCAAGACGTATGTTTACCCGAAAGCAGATTATCTGCTGCGACACGTACGAGCCTACAAGACCCAGCTGGACAGTGTGGACTCAGCATTGGCACGTGGTTTACGCCATCTTCTGAAGCTCAACCAGTCCAGTACGACTGCAATGTTTCAAGCTCCGGTTGCCGCCGGTGGTTTGGGTTTCACCCCACTTGTCGACCTTCGAGCTGTGCTACAGATAAGCCATGCCTGGCAGATGCTGCACTCCTCCGATGTGCTTATTCGTGAGATTGCTCAAGAGCAAGTGTGGCAGGCAATCCAGAAGCGATTCACCATGGACCCGGACCATTGGCGTGGACGTATACCTACTGCCATCCAGCTCTTTTTGAATGGTGATCTCGATTCTTCTCCATTTGCCCGTCAGAAGCGCAAGTCGGGGGATATTGGTTCGTTATGGGTGGATGTCAAGAATCATCTTGCGACCCGTGGATTGAAGTTGACGACGGAAACAGTGCTCACGGAAGCTGGAACTGAGGTGGAAATGATGTTGCAGCTCAAGTTACCACATCGATCGCAACCACTACCGCACAGCGACATCACCAGGCAGCTTCGCCATCATTTAAAACTGACGGAGCTTGAGCGGTGGAAAGGATTGAGTGCCCAGAGTTCCGTTGTGCGAGCTATTGGTGGAGTTGGAAGCTGTTTTCTTTCTCGTGGTGGTGGAATGAGCGACGCAGAATTTCGTTTTGCTTTGCAGGCTCGGGTTGATTTGGTACCCACTCGATCGGTTCTTCGACGTTGGAATGAGCGTGGGGGTGCAACCTGTCGCCACCCCAGATGCCATCACGATGAAACGCTCCCACATGTTCTTCAGCACTGCCCAGGCAATTCTCGGGCCATTGATGGTCGTCACGACCGTGTTCTTGGGATTATCAAGAAAGCGGTGGAGCCCATTGTTTCCAAGTCCTCCAGTCGTCTGACGGCTTGCTTTGACACATACGTGGAGGGTCTACCGGGTCGTCAACTGCGTCCAGATATCCAGATTTTTGATGCGGCTTCGAGGACCGCCTACATTTGTGATCTCGCTATTGCCTTTGAAGCTCAGAAGACGGACGACCCTGCTACAGGCAACATGCGCGTTCGTCATGCCGAGAAGTTGGTCAAGTACCAGCGTGCAAAGGAGTTTCTGGAGACGATGGGATGGCGCGTTCAAGTTTCAGCTTTGGTGTACGGATCGTTGGGATCAGTGTTGCCCTCCAACTCCAAGGTGTTGACGGAGCAGCTACGTCTGACCAAGAGGCATGCCAATCAACTCAATCGTCGGATTTCGGTGGCATGTGTTCAGGCAAGCTACAAGATATGGAGGTTCCATTCGGGAGAGTTGAATTCAGGAGATACGTCAAGAAACTCGAGGCCAACTGTGGCTCCCACGTCTACATCGACCTCGCCGAGCACCAGGACCTATGACCCATGTGCGCGACCGGTGGAGACACCTACTTCTGTGCCATCTACATCGAGGACTTCTACTTCAACCAGCCAACCACGTCGGGCATCTACGCGGTGGGGTCCGCTTCGTTCTCAGCCGCTCACGACTCCTGTCCCTCCACGCCGGACCAGCACACGATGGGGACCTCGCCGAGGTCACGTGACTTCATCTGCTGCTCCGGACACCCAGTCAAGGTCAAGACAGCACCCACCACATCAACACTTGACTCGGACCTCGCATTCTTCCGGACAGCCACGCTCAAGGTCGACTCACCAGCCTAGGCGACCCTCGCGCCCACAGCACCAAGGTCATCCTCAGGTACGTCGTGCCGTCGCCACTGCCACCAGGAACTAGTGGTTCATGGACCTGTTTCGGTCCCATCGGCACTCTCCAGCAAGGACACCGCCGTTCCAAGCCCAATGTAGCCATATAGCCTATAGGTGTAGCACTACATTCGGACGTTTTCCGTCCTGTCTACCCCCGCTTGCAGCTTTTGCTTCCCACGGGTGACTACTAATTGGCACATAATACACGCATTAAAATGAGGGCGTTGACATGAGCCGGAGCAGGCCCCTTGCACTCCGGTGCTGTAAGGGTTCAGGAATGCTCTTTTGAGTAATTCCACAGTAGAATTTTTGTCAGCGGGGGTGAGCGCGTGCGCCGCCCCCACCTCAACATCAAACAATACACACGCCTGGTTTGCACCTTTCTTCGTGTTCTTTTATTCTACTCAACTGTGTCTGCTGCGTGTACTCTGCTGCGCCATGGACATCTTCTCGCTGTTCGCGCGCGGTGCGCGGCCGCAGTCGCCGGCGAGCAGCACGGCGTCGAGCGCGGTGACGGCACAGGACGTGGACGCCGTGTTAGTTGGGAGCGAATTCTTTAGCGAAGACGGCGACGCGGACGACTCCGCGAGTGCTGCGACGGACGAGGGTGTTGCTGCAGCTGATGACGACGAGGACGTCGCCGTGGACGCCACCGCCGCCGCTACCGACGAGGACGCCGCTCGTGTCGGTGCTGCTAGGGATGAAAATCCAACAGCTGGTGCCGCGTGGGAACGACTGCTCGCGACTGCCGCGACAGGTCTGGTCGATGGTGCCAGTCTCACTGAACCGACGGACAACGGCGGGACCACCCTTCAAGACATCGACATTGCTGCTCAAGGTGTTGCCTTTCATGGCGCTATGGATCAAGCTGCTCATGATGACTGTTTTCAAGATGTTGAAGATGTTCTATTTGAAGACACCGCCGATGACGATGCTGCTGCTACGTGCCCCGACTTCGACGACTCGATCTTCGACGCTGCGCATCCCGCCATGGAGACCGACTACTGCCCCGTTTTTGTCCAAGACGTCCGTCCGGTCGACCTCCCCGCCCAGTATACCTGCACCTCATACCGTTCAAGCCGGCCCCGCTCCCGACCAAGCTGCTGCCCCCGACGCCGCCACTACCGACCCGCTCGCCCCCACGCCCGGTTGGACGATCGAGTCCCAAGACTCACGTTCACCGTCTGACTATCCGGATGTCGACGATGGTGCAACGCCTTCCCCGTCTCTGGCCACGCTATCCATCTTCCCGCACAACGCAGCGACTTTTCGCTGCGTCGCGTGCGACTTTGTTGCACCGCAGCTTGCGGAGCTGCGTGCGCACCGACACCGGCGGCATCGCGGGATCCCGTTCATGGACATTTTTCACAGTGGATGCGCCTGTGCCATGTCGTTTGCCCAACGGGCAGCGGCTACTCGGCACAGCCTCCACTGTGGAACAGCTCAAGAAGCCACTTTGACTGCCATATCGGCGCGGCTCATGGCACCCGCAGACACACCGGCGGCTGGAGGAGGGCCCACGGTGACACGCCGTAACCCTCCTCCAGACTTAGCCACCCCACCCACTAGTTCCTTTCGGCCGTGGCTGGCCGCTCGCTCTCGTCTTCGTGTCCCAGCTTGCTCCGCAGGAAGTTCAAGCCCAAGCCCCAGCTCAAGACCCGGTACTGCAGCGTCGCTGTCCGGAGCCAAGCGTCGACGGTTAAACTCCTCGCTGCTGGTGGATCAAGATGAAGACGTGAACATGGACCACAACGAGGATACTCCCGTTGATGCTTTCCTCCGTCGGATGATGGCTTACGCCCCCGACACGAGCAACACTTCGACGACGCCCCTGCAAGATATTCGCCCGGCTACTGCGCCATCTACGCCGACTGTTGTGTCGTCCGAACTCACAAGGCACGATGTCAGTCACAACGCGGGGGCTACGGATGATGAAGACGAAGTTGATGACCCCAAGGATGACGTTTTTGATGAACACTTTGATGAACATTTCGATGACACTTTTGATGACAATTCTGATGCCACTTTTGATGACACTTTTGCTGGAGATGATGAACACGATGACACTGCTACTGAACACGATAACAAGGCTGGTACCACCGATGACGATGCAGGTGACAACGCTGCTGCTGGTACTGTTGCTCCGGGTGCATTTTCTTTAGCCCACGACCATGATTCCACGATGAATGCCCAAGACCCTGAGCCCACTTCCTGGACGCTGTTCTTTGGTGGAGCGTGTCGCCGACGATCGATGGTATCTGGTGCCGCTGCTGGGGCAGGAGCCATACTGTTTCAAGGCACGGTGATCCAGTGGACCATTTCTCGGTATCTGGACAGCACGACGCAGACCGACAACACTGCAGAGTATATTGCTCTGGTTGAAGGACTTCGTGGCGCTCAACACCATGGCGTGCGTCGCATCAAGGTGATGGGTGACAGTGCGCTGGTTTTGGAGCAAGTGCGTGGACGCTACTCGTGCAATAACGCTCGACTTCGACGTTTGAGGAACAAGGCTCGCACTCTCCTTCGCAGCTTCGACCACTACGATCTGGTTCATGTGGACAGGATGGAGAACCAGGCGGCTGACCGGTTGGCAAACCGAGCTGTTGACACCTCAAGAACTCGAACCGAGTGTGCTGGTCACGGTATTGATGGTGCTAGCTGTAGCTCGTGTGATCCCTTGCACCTGATTATTGAAGAAGGATCTTCAAGACGTACTGCTGACTTGATTGACGGCGCTGTGGACATGGATATCTCAAGTGGAGATGAAGAGTATGAAGCCACGATTGCCGATGAAGATGCTGCTGCTAATTTTGTCTGCCGTGGCAGAGGTAGGACATTCCCAGTACTCCCTGTCACCGCGGACAGTGTGCCAGCTCGGCAACCCAGACTGAAGTTACGATCCAAGCTTCGCGATGACGAGCAAGAAGCTGCTCGATTGGCGGTGAAGCAGGTTGGTGACGACTTTGCGGACAAGATCTCCGATGTTGAAGACTGGGAAACCGCAGAAGGCTACTTGGCTGCTCTCACGCCATCTATCTATGCTGCGCTCCTGTCATTTTTGCAGCGCTATCGACCACCTCGTCGAACTCAGAACCAACCTGGCACTTCGAACCGTCAGCAAGGACGTCGCAGGCCGTCGCAGACACCTAGTAACCAACACTTAATATGAAGCTCTAGATAATTTAGATAACGTTCAGCGTGGTTCTAACCCGTCCCAACCTGCAATTCGAAAGGCTCGACGCCGCGCAGGACGCGTCCGCTCGGCGATGAAGCGCACTTTGTTGCGGAAGAAGTTTTGGACCCATGAGAAGGCGTGCATGCAGCAGCTTTTTGATGCAGCGCCACCAGACCCCGAGACTAAAGTAGGAGAATCTACCCCGAGACGCTGCCCGATTTCGAGAGCGGCTGTTCATGATTATTTCCAGGGTGTGAACACCCCTCGACATAATTTTGATTTTGATGGTGAGGCTGGTGCTACTTTTCGGCGCTTGATGTCCGATCTTCCACCAGCCTCGGTGGATGTGGATTCTCTTTCTGCGAATTTTTCGTCGGAGGAAGTGGAGGCTGCCGTGAATCGTTCGAATACACATTCCAGCCTGGGGATCGATGGAATAGGCCATGACATTTTCAAGAAGTTTCTTTCCGAATTGCTGCCAGTTCTTCATGCGACTTTCGATGCTTGTTTGAAGCATGGGAGAGTACCTGTGGTGTGGAAAGTCGGTTCTATACAGCTGATATTCAAGAATGGTGACCCACACGACCCAAGCAACTGGCGACCTATCTGCCTTCAAGCGTGTATTTACAAATTATACTCGGACTTGCTTGCTCGAAGACTCACACATTGGATGGAAGCGAATGGTCGTTTGACGGGCGCGCAAAAAGGGCTTCGACGCATGAATGGTACTGCTGAACACAATTTCTTGAGCACGGCGGTTATCGATCAGGTCAAGAGACGTCCCAGACTACTTTATATGGTCTGGCATGATATCAAGAATGCTTTTGGATCTGTTCCCCATGAATTGATTTGGCGTGTGCTGCTGGCTACTGGTGCGACTTCTTCTTTTGTTTCTCGGCTCAAGAACATCTACGAGGGGGCTGTTTTCACAGTTGCCAACACCGCCGATGGCGCGACCGACCCAATCCAGCTTCGAATGGGAGTTTTCCATGGCTGCTCGCTCTCTCCTTACCTGTTTGTGATCGGGATTATGCCGCTCGTGCGTGCGCTCCAGGCACTCGCCCCGGAGCTGGGAGTTCCTGTTACTTCCAGTCGCAATGTGTCGGTTATCGCCTATGCCGATGACCTGAAGACTTTTAGCTTGTCGTCCCAAGGTATTAAGAAAGCTCACTCGGTGGTTGTGAAGTTTCTTCAGTGGTCTACTCTGCAATCCAACGCCCGTAAATGCGCGTCGCTTTCGGTGAAGACGGATTCTCATGGCCAACTGCGTGGAGACTCAGTGGAACTCACACTGGATGGGGACGTCATCCCTTCTTTGTCTATTGCGGAAGGGTATACGTACCTGGGTATAGGTGATGGATTTAATCACGCACAGCACCGCGGATCGATGGGACCTGCTCTACAGGAAATGAAACGCATGATGTCCGCTATTTTTCGCTCCTCGCTCGCACCGTGGCAGAAGATGAAGGCACTCAAGACATATGTTTATCCCAAGGCGGACTATTTGCTTCGACATGTTCGAGCATACCAGACACAGCTGGATAGTGTGGACTCAGCACTGGCACGTGGCTTACGTCATCTTCTGAAGCTCAACCAGTCCAGCACGACTGCCATGTTTCACGCTCCAGTTGCCGCAGGTGGTTTGGGTTTTACCCCGCTTGTCGACCTTCGAGCTGTGCTACAGATAAGTCATGCATGTCAGATGCTGCACTCATCGGACCTGCTGATTCGTGAAGTTGCCCAAGAACAAGTGTGGCAGGCAATCCGGATAGATATTTATCATGGACCCAGACCATTGGCGTGGACGTATACCTACGGCTATCCAACTTTTCCTGAATGGCGATCTCGATTCTTCACCATTTGCCCGCCAGAAGCGCAAGTCTGGAGATATTGGTTCGTTGTGGGTGGTCGTAAAGAACCATCTGGCTGCCTGTAAATTGAAGCTGACGACCGAATTGGTGATGAAGGAAGATGGGACTGAGACGGACATCGATGTTACAGCTCAAGTTACCACATCGCTTGCAGCCACTACAGCACATCGACATCACCCGCCAGCTTCGTCAACACTTCAAATTGACGGCGCTTGAGCGATGGAAAGGCTTGAGGGCCCAGAGTTCGGTTGTGCGGGCTATTGGTGGAACTGGCAGCTGTTTTCTTTCTCGTGGCGGTGGGATGAGCGACGCGGAATTCCGTTTTGCTGTACAGGCTCGAGTTGATGTGGTGCCTACTCGCTCATTCTTCGACGGTGGGATGAGCGTGGTGGTGCGACCTGTCGTCACCCCAGTTGCCATCACGCCGAGACGCTCCCGCATGTTCTTCAACACTGTCCGGGCAATTCTCGTGTCATTGATGGTCGCCACGACCGTGTGTCAGCGATGATTAAGAAAGAATTGGAGCCTATTATTTCCAAGACCTCCGGCCGTTTGAAGGCTCGTTTCGACGCATATGTGGAGGGTCTACCGGGAAGTCAATTGCGGCCCGATAGCCAATTTTTTGACGCGGCCTCCAAGACGGCTCACATTTGTGACCTAGCCATTGCGTTTGAAGCTCAGAAGACGGACGATCCCGCTGGAGGTAACATGCGTATTCGTCATGCGGAGAAGTTGATGAAGTACCAGCGTGCAAACGAGTTTTTGGAGACGATGGGATGGCGAGTGCAAGTTTCTGCTTTGATTTATGGAGCTCTGGGATCGGTTTTGCCCTCCAATTACAAGGTGTTGACAGATCAATTACGAATTACCAAGAGGAAGGCAAACCAGCTCAATTACGGATTTCGGTGGCATGTGTTCAGGCTAGCTACAAGATATGGAGGATGCATTCAGGCGGGAATAATCCTGGTGATACTTCAAGAAACTCAAGCCCGACGGTTACCAGGACTCCTGACCCACCCTCAAGACCGGTGACGAGCAATAACCCTGTATCATCGACAGTGGGGACCCCAACTTCAACTGGACAACCACGTCGCGCCTCTACGCGCTGGGGTCCACCTCAAGCTTCGAACTCATCAGCTCCAGTATCGACACGCCGGACCAGCACTCGGTGGGAACTACGTAGGGATCGTGTTGCTTCGTCTACAGCTCCAGAAGTCCAGCCCGAATTACGAAAGCAACCAAGACCCCAGAACTCGACTCCGACTTTACGAGCTTCTGGACGTCCACGTCCAAGTTTGGCTCAAGAGCGCACACGATCTTCACGCCAGCATCGCCGAGGACATCCTCAGGTACGTCGCGGTGGTGCCACTGCCACCAGGAACTAGTGGTTCATGGACCCGTTTCGGTCCACCCGGCACTCTCCAGCAAGGATACCGCCGTTCCAAGCCCAATGTAGCCATATAGTCTATAGTTGTAGCACTACATTCGGACGTTTTCCGTCCTGTCTACCCACCGCCCGCAGCTTTTGCTTCCCACGGGTGACTACTAATTGGCACATAATACACGTATTAAAATGAGGGCGTTGACATGAGCCGGAGCAGGCCCCTTGCACTCCGGTGCTGTAAGAGTTCAGGAATGCTCTTTTGAGTAATTCCACGGTAGAAATTTTGTCAGCGGGGGTGAGCGTGTGCGCAACCCCCACCACATCATCAAACAATACACACACTTGGCATAGACCTATCCTCCGTGTTCTTTGGTTCTTCTCCGTGTCTGCTGCTACGTATGCTGCTGCTGCGTGTCATGGACATCTTATCGCTGTTCGCTAGTGGCCGCGCCATATATAGGGAGTTTCTGCCTTCGGCGTCGCCGGTGAGAAGCACGCCTTCGAACGAAGTGACGACGTGGGACGACGATGCCGTGAGCGTTGCGATCGACTTCTTCAGCGACGTTGGCGATGTCGACGACAAATGCGCAGAGGACGATGATGTTGATGGCGCTGCTGCTGACGACGACAACCCCAGCTGCTGACGCCGCCACTGCCACCGCTAGCGACGAGGGTGATGCTCGTGTCGGGGTCACCGGGTCGGAAAATTGAGCAGATTGTGCCGACTTAAATGGATATGCACGGTGGCCAGCACCAACCTTCCCGCTGGTGCCGGTCTGACGGATCTGATGAACAGCGATGAGATTGTCAACGACGCTGCTCAAGTTGATACCGTGGACGACGAGGCTGTTTGAACTACTAGCGACAAATGCTATCCACACGGTGACGATACACAGATTGAGAATTTTATCAGAGGGGTCAGACGATGAAAAGAAGCCCCTTGCCCATTTTGGCATCCGTCTCCGACTCAAGATGGAGGCACGGACTGTAATAGAGGGTCTCCCTCGGTGGGACACTTTGGAAAGAGTCGGTAACAGGTACACCCTGAAGCGACCGAGACAACGAAAGGCCAGTCCAAAAGCGTGGTGCAGTTGCAGGATCTGTGCGGGGGTGTAGTGGATGCGCGGAAATCGTCTCAGCAAGATTCGCCGTGCGACGCGTGATTGACGACGCTAGCAGAATGTTAGCCATCTTTACCGTACCGTCGTGATCGACGGCGACCTATATCTGCCTGGAAAGAGGCGCTTCCGAAATTACACACAGTAGAGAAGGTGGTTTTGTTCAAGTTCTTCGAGGAAGAATGCGTATCTTGCGACGCTTTTTACAAAAATTGGGTGGCCCAGGTCATAAAGGTGAAGCACTAGCTGTATAACAAGAATCGATTATTTACGACTATCTTACATAATATGATCAGTAATTTGAATTAGCCAATTTGACACCACATAACTCGTGGGCGACGACTGCCGCGCCGACCTCCAACTCTCTGGATGAAGCCGTCAGTCACCACATCACACGGGAAATCTATGATTTATATATATTCATTCTAGCAGTCTACAATGCGAAGGACATTATGACTTTGCGAGCTCTCTGCCTACATCCGGCGGCGTACAATAGGAGGAGAAGACTTCGAGACGGCACGCAAAACGAACGGCATACAATCAGCGGCCTAGCCGGAGGTAGAAATGTGTTCCAAGGTTTGCCCGTATTCTTGAATAACGTGCTGATTCCAAGAAACGAGTCCGTATGTACAGAAAAATTTATGCTTAAGTCAAAGGTAAACTTGAGCTGCACCTGTGCAGCGGACTTTACATCAGGATGTGTCGCCAATATACGAGTGCGATAAAGTTGGGCATATTGCTCGCAGCGGAACGTCTGTAGGCAATAAGGATAAACGGTGGCGGCTGCTTAATTTAGCCAAGACGATATGCTACAATCTGGTTGATTGTAGTACCCATTTTACATCTTCGATTAAGCGACGGCACGTATATTTGACTTCATAACAATTTTGTTTCGAAGATCGGTGTATAGGGTAATCAGCGTACATCTTCCAGCTCAGGAGTGTATGTCGACCCCCCCAATGGTACGGTCGGACTTCATCTTGCAACAACCATAGTGTATGCCGTGGAGATGCATAACGTCACAAGGTTTACGGACATTGGATAGCTCAACGCGGAATTACAGGCCTATACCGCAGCTTATCTCGAACTGGAAAAATTTAAATACCTGCACACCTAACTCTCGGGTATCTTTAGTCTGGCGTCTAATAGTCAAATTTGCTGGCTATCCAGAATTCTCGCGTGGTGTCGTACGCATTATCTAATATGGGCGACTAATCATACTAAGTATTCATAGGGTTGGTTACCGTCTATAATGCTTGTCTTGCGGGGCGTTAGACCATCCCATGACCCGGTGCTGTTTTACGGAAGCTCAATTGAGCGGTCCAGGTAGCAGAGTCCCTACCGAATGAAAAATTGCATCGCTACGATATTTGGCTGCACCATTTCACAGATTCGACGTGATCAAAGAAATGGCAGCGCGCAGGATGCACATTCAGCACGGCAAGTTCATAAGGCCATCAGAGGAAGTTGATCCATCCGCGACAGCTGCTGGATCTTTCGACGAACCACGATACAAGCGCCTAGTACGAGCGGCCCGAAGCCTCCTTTGAGCGCTCAGAAGGCAGCATTACCTCCGACGAAGCGATGGGTGACGGTTCATATACGACGGCGTCGACATTCTATTGCCCGTTTTAGTGACCGACTGGCACGTCCTCAATTAGTCGCCTCTTTCTATGCTGACTTCGAACACTGGCCAGAGGACATGTGCACAGCGGTCGATCCTTTTTCTTCCCCGCCAACAAAAGTTGTCGCAGTCGAGCTCTCGTCCGGTGATGACGAGACAATAAAGCCCGCCAATGACAATTACGGAAGAGGAGAAGCAGAAGCTACATCTTTGAGCGACGACCCTACCAAAACGGCCGCCCACATCGCAGTTACTCACACGTTTACAACATAAACGCCCTTCTTTCGTCAAGCGATTACGGACGTGCGGCCAAGCTCGGCATCGATAAATATACTCGAGGTCATGGCGTAGCCACGGAGTCTTATTCCTCCCAAATCGAGAAAGATCTAAGCCTTACGCCGGTAATAACCGAAGCCATGAGTAAATGTATGACATTGGCGTTAGTCTAGGCCGTGTCTTATTATGACCTGGTTATTTAAGATTTTTATGTGGAGTTTATCAGAACTTGTATCAAATGGGGTATCCACGGGGCGGGAATATTGCAATTTGGTTAGCTTTTTACATTCTTTTCAATTGGTCCCGCTGATTGATGTACAACGTGGATGGAAAGTCATGGCCCCACGGAAATCAGCCAAACCATTTCAGTAGTATTTACATGAGCAAGCCACCTCCCCTTCTACCCGTCTTACTCTTATTAAAAGACACACTTGGGGTAGCAGTTCAATTTTATCGATCGCGGCTAATTCTCTACGACGAAAGGTATACGCACTTGGATATCACACGGAAGGCATGCAATAGCGAACCTGCTCCTTGTATTGCCTTAGTACCAACACCAGAGGAGCAAAACTTTACGCGACTGGACACCTTATTGCTTTATAGATACGCCAATGCGTCAAGACTATTTCGTCAGCAAAACCCCAGATCCAGCAGCAGCCACTAGTCCTTAGTTTCTGGAGCGACCATTAGTCAGCCTATATACACACGCGGTCTCCAGAATCTGATCACCGCTCGACATCAGCCGATCCACACACACGGTCGACAAACCTCGGTCAGAAATCGGATCTGGTAGGCACTCAGCATCATACGCATACCCAGCACTTCACGAAAGACTGCCTGACCGCAGTATAGCTAGGTAAAAATGTTTACAGCACCGACGTCAAAAAGCCAGTGTTAGTGACCAGGAGTCGCGATTTTGCTGATCCTCTTGATTTGCAAAAAAAAAACCGTTACTGCCACTCCCGAGGAGGGAGAGCGAACGACACATGTTGCACACAAGTGTTTCCATTTATGAGCAGGATGAGAACACGGTCATGTCGGACTTAACTGTGTAAATTGTATCACGTGAGCTGTCTGACACATGTTGGAGATGGCTATAGCTTTTCCTAAAGAGGATGAGGTTGGCCAGCCCCGTCCGGGTCCTTTTTTCTCCACGGGCATATTAGTCATGACGAAAAAGTCACGGTGAGGCAGCGGGAGCCAAAGCTTCTTTTTAATATGATGCAAAGATTTCCGTATCCATATAAGGCTCTTATCACTTTGACCGTCCAGGCTCTATAAAGAGGAATGGCGGTATGGCTACGTGGATGTATACAAGCCTGATGGGGCTTTTATTGCTCTCGATCTACTGATCCATCGATGAAAAAGTGGATAGAGTCTTGGTGTGCCGTTTTCACTAGACCGGGCACGTAAGATTTATCGGCACTTATAGACAGCCGCGACGACTGGTTCCGATTTCGCACTAACTCTTACGAAGATGGTCCTGTGTTGGAAATGTGTGATGTGAGCAACATATCGAACTTTTGGCAGACATATTTTTGCGCGGTCTAATACGATCACAACATTAAAATTCTCCTAGGCCAAGAAGATTGCTCGGTGAAGGGTATGCCACTTCGCCTAAGAAGGCATTAGGCTGCGCTAAATTCGATTGCCACGTATCGAAAGGCATTTATTGCCTTGTTCTCCACCGACAATGGGTCCTCTCTCTCGCGCTTCTTCTCTAATGCATTTGAAAGTCGAAGTATGGACGCCGTACATTATTATTAAGAGCACTTTTAGCCAAAAAACTGGGGCGTCGACCTACACTCGAGGCCACACACCCACGGTCCCCTAAGGCAGACATTTCTATCACCGGCAACCACGCAACGTCTAGAGGATTCATCAAATTTTAAAATGATTTAATGGGTCCAAACGGATATAAATTTAGAATGTTAGGAATTTTTAGGTTAAGTATCGTGGATTAATGCATGACGCCGGACTCCAGAACACCAATGTCCACTTGTCTAAATGGTCCAAGAGACTCACTTACGCAGCTGAGACGAAGTGGATCAGCTCATTTTCACATGGGCCCGTATGTGGGGTCAACATGAGCAGCAAAGGGGGCTTCTGGTTTCGTGTCAGAGCATCGGGGATAGACGGACTAAGGGAGTAGCAATTTTATTGACTCTTTTTACAGATGCCTCGACCATTCCATGAAACATGACGGGATGGTCGACTTGGGTAATTATATTCGACCTGGTCAATATCCGCTTGGTGAAAATATATGCGCCAAACAAACCAGTTTTTTGTGAGCATTTCGTCAATATTTAACATGCGTGGTCATTTAATCTACGGGCGACAATACTCGCCGGCGACATCAATTGTATTGAGAGTCCGCTGCTAAAACGGCTTGGCGGTGTAATGAAGGGGTTGCCGGAAAGCGCCGCGCTTTTGAGCTTAATCGAAAATAACATCCTGAAGGACGCTTGCATTATGAATGCACCAGTGGATGGGAAAGGTAACATTTCTGACCCATCGATTGTTTACGTATTGGCGGCCCGATGCGGCGAGTAGCATTAATCGACTCTTTGTGTCGCGATTTTAGTCCCAGTGGATCAAGGTGTGTCGATAAATGAATCGCGCGTACCGTCAGACCATCAGCGTGTGCAGTTGCATCACAACGATACCGGACTATCTTCCCAGTCACGACGACATCGTTGTACGATTACATATCCCACCAGGTATTATCAGCGCTCTCGAGGTATCGAGGAGCATCTAGAAGCTCTTTTCAATGAGCCCATGCGGTACAGAGCGACCTGTGCGACTAAAGACGCACCCACTAGGAAGTGGGTGGCAA